ATAAACTTGGGAAGTTTTCTAGGGATGCTATGCCTTGAATTTAACTGAATTGCATACTCAAATTCTGCAGTTCCTCATACTACATGCTTCTTACTGAGTATTGGTAGTACCTTTGCTCTCTCAGATGCTTCATAACTCAGTTCTGCAGTTTATTTCCCCAAGGCTGGGTAATATTTTGTCACTTTGTAGGGTCTTTTAGTATCTTTTTACATGAAATATAAAAGGAACACTGATGGCATCCCAACGAAATAGCTGTAATGTTGTTATCCCAGTCTCCACCGAACTATACCCTAGCTTAGTTTCATAGTCTTTGAATGTTTCCAGTTTTATAATGTGGTTTATGAAACAGCTGTCAGCTCGTAAAATTGGTCATGAGAAATAATACCAATACAGGGCAGAGGGATGGTCTTCTATGATCCCACATCCATGTAGTATCTCAACTAAACATGTCATACCTGAAATGAGACCTAGATTTCTGCACTACAGTTGTAGCTTCAGGGGTATGGGGGATACATCTGATAGGCCTGCAGTCTTGGACTACTATTTTTATACAGGCTAGCTGACCTGGGAAATGACCTTGAAATTAACACATGAAACTGCTGATGTGTACATACGAGCACACCACAGTGAAGTCTTAAAGTACAAGAGAAAGAGGCAGTTCCAGTCAAAGATCTGTCTGTGCCTGAGATCTAACAAAGCTAAGGAGCGGCCCTGATGGGCACCAGCAAAGCCCACCAAAGCCCAGTGGGCACTGCAATTTATGCTGGAGTTGATTGTTGTAGGTATGGTTTACCTTGTGAAGTTTTCCTTTAAGAAAATAAAAGTGTCTGTAATAAATATGAGAATAGCAATCAACTAGAAGGCAGGCTCTCTAAAAACAAGAAACATACTGTTAGGTGGCTTTGGCACATAATTCTGTAGGCAGGACTGACAATTTCCCCAAGCAGAATTTTACAGAGAGGGAAAATAATCCTGGAATTGAAGATTAAAATAAAATAGAAGCAGAGTAGAACTCAACCATTCTTAGGGAATATGGACTGAACAGGTTTTGAGAAGATAACTTCTCAGAACTATTTTGTTTAGCTTCTGTTAAAAGTTTGATAAAAATAGTATTTATTTAGGTTCATAGATTGCTTTCCTTTTGAGGATTTAAGTGAATTTTACACACCATTCTCAGAGAACAAGACCACAAGATACAAGCAGACCCTAGCAGAACTGTTCTGTCATCACTGATTTCTCTGGCACATTGCCTCTCCTTTGAGCACTTTGATACAGTAACAGAGAAAGAGTTATTACCCCTCGAAGAACAGAGTTGAAGTATAATGTGTGTGTGGTGAGGAGGAAATTAGATTGCCAGGCAGGAGACCTGAGGTCAGGTCCTAGGTCTGTGTTGGTTTGGAAAACTAAGTTATGCCAGATCACAACAAAAGGCATTTGACTTTACTCAAGGCATTCAATTTAATTACATGAGGCATTCATTTTAATAACGTGCAGCAGTGGGTACTGTGTGTTTCTTGTAAGGAATAGTTTAGTTGAAACATACCCAAGTTTAAACCCAAGACACCTAGTTAGCATAAAATCATAATGGATACAGACTGTTAAAAATGGAAACATGGTTAGACTTACCATGTATCAATGTGGTTTTAAACGGTGAGCATACACAACGATACATGTGTTTCAGTGGGAAGTCTTACACTTTTTAACTGCTGGAGATCTCAGATCAGAGTTTTGTAGCAGCCTGGTGTGTGTGCTCGTGTGTCTGTGAATGTGTAGGGTGTACATCTCACATTTGACTCTTTATTTTCCTATTTAAGATTGTAAAATGACCATGTAGAGATGCCTTATTTCAGTGTCAGGTATGTATGATTTTTAAAGCTAATTGGGAGCTTGTTATAAGGCATGTAAACTATTTTTATGAGCTATTTCTCACAAAGTGTTAACATTAATAGTTTTTTTAAAATCTTCAATATACAAATAGTCTGATGAAAATAAATTATTTTGTCATTTTACTTAATGAATAAGCATGAAATGAATATGTATGCATAGTATTAACATGGCATATCCAAATGAAGTAATTCTAATTCTGGTGGAATGCATGTATTGAAACTTCCAGGTGTATTCTTACTCCTTGTTTTTGGGAACTTAAGCCACCCAAGCTAAGTTAGAAGGCTTATACTCCAGCATGCCTGATAAGCAGTGGGAAGATAGCAGCAATTTGCCGTATGTGGGACCTTTTCTAGAACTTTTCACTCGTGTCTGTGGTGCTTCTATATTAATATTTTAAGATTAAAAATGCATTTTTAAAGTGAATCAGCCATTTTCATTTATTGTGATATCACAAAGTGCATCACAGTGTGGTCTCACAGAGAACGTAATGGAGTTTAGATGATTAAATGAAGCCAAAATGTGCACCTACACTAATGTTTCCTTTATCGAGTGCTGCATTTCCTGAAAATGATGTGGGAAAAGAAACATGGATTAGATAGTGGGATGTATTTGCTAATTGCACTGCTCATTTAATAGGCCTCCGTAATACACGGTATTTGATGCAGAAGCCCGGAATTCTTGTCATTACCCACTAGATGTCACCATTGACACAAAAAATAAGTGAGAATGTGTTTTTCTGCCTCTCAAAAGCTAGGTTGGTGTGTCAGGGACAGTAGGTAATGGTCCGCAGTGAAACGCACAAAAACAGAGGAGTATATTTGTCAGCTTTGGCTCCTCCTTTGGAGAGTCCTGCTTTGGCTGCTCCCCGGAAAATCCAGCTTTGGAGACCTTTCTAGATATTACTAGCCACTTCTTCTGACGTAGGCTGGCCCCCTGTGTCAGAATGAGTGTGCATTTTTGTTAGCATAAAAGCCTGAGTTTCATGAGTTGTGGAGAGGTAAACCTCATACCACTCAGGTCAATGTTGCCTCCATGGGGATGCCCCCTAAGGTTGGGCCTGCCACCTCGCACTGTGATGATGTTTCTCTGAGCTGGTTTCCTAATCATCATTACATGGTCCTTGGGGTTGGTAAGATAACCAAACATCAGAGATATCCTTTGCTGTATCTTTTGTTACCCCTATATTTTCCCTGTATTAATAAACTAGTTATTATTCTTTATTGTGTTGCGTTTCTCTCAACCCGGAATCCTTGAACTCCAGAACAGTTGGTTGTTCTCACCACACCTTAGTCAAAGTAGGACTCCAGTCCAAGAAATTTCAAGGAATTTATTATGTTCTCCTAAATGTGTGTGTCCTGTGACCTTGTTTGTTCACTGGCGAACACTGGAAATATTTTACAGGAAACCACGCCTGGAGTATTGTCAGGAGGCTTGGCCTCACATGGTAGTAGTGTTCTCCATACTTTACCCTAATTTGCTTTCCTCTGCTTCTCTTACATCCAGAGCCATTTGAATTGCCTATTCAGTAAAATGAACTGATAAACCCTATTATGTACCTTTATGTTGTTCAATTGGAAATTTAAAATAGGCAGTATCCCATTTTCCTGTTTTTTTATTATTATAAGTATCACATCAGAGAAGACCATGATCACAACTTACTCTTGTCTTTATTATTAAGACAGATTATGATTATGGATAAAAGTGAAGGGAAATTACAAAATATTCAGGCAGCTTTATTTGCCCAGGTTTAGGTGTTCTGTATTTCAGTTGTATCAGAGGTAGTCCCTGTTATAATCATCGTAATTTTTAGACCAATTTTCACTGATTTTGTTTAAGTTGCTGTTTCATGTATTAATACATGTTAAAGTCAGAAAAGATAATACTTCTTGATAACCCTGGTAGCCCATAGGTGAGATTGTTTTATCAGTCTACACTAATAACTGGAACTGACTTATTTCCTCTGGGATCACCTAAATTACCATGCATTGTGGCTGGAGTTGCTGTTGCTATCACAGTAGAAAAAGATATGGTAATGGCTGTGAATCTGAGCAATTGCTTGTGAAAGGCCATTGGATTAGAGCATATGTTTCAAAAGATGCTGCTTTGTAGTCCAAAAGGGGGTATTTTACTATTTGAGCAGATGCAGTTTCTGCAGTAGCAAAGTTGTCTTAATTCTGGAATGAATTTTGCTGTATCTGTATTCTGTCTCTGTATTTTTCCTCCTAGATTTGAGTTCCCTGATTGCAGTTTTTCCTGCATGGTACTTGAAACCAAAGTCATCTAATCTTGGAACCTTGTATGATACATCAAAAAGGACTCCAGTTTCTTCCTTTAGCAAGTTTCCAATTTATTGAAATGCAAATATATGAGGGCTCCATTTAACATTTAATGCTTTAAATACAACTATCAACGTTCAGATGTTTAATTTCAGACAAAATTGACAGAGGATAATACTTTGCATTTAGTTAGTATATTATAACCAAAATTTGTGAGAATGAAGATACTACATAGAACATCCCTTCAACCCACCCCGCCAAAATCTTGACAGTACTCAGTTGAAGGAGCCTCAGTTACATCAGGACTTTGTTGTTAAGCTGAGTAATTTCAGAAGCAAAATAGTATTCAGGAGGTGGTGAATTCATCGGCACAACAAAATGAGCGTGAGAACATTATTTCTACATTGAGCTCAGCTTTTCCAGATGAAGCTGGTTTTACAGATGCTTGTCATTCAAGTTGTGGACCTGAGCAACATGACATAATGTCAAAGCCAGCCCAGCTTTGAGCTGTACGTTGTACTTACATGTCTTCCTGAGATCACTTCCAGGGTATTCTATTTTTGTGAGTTTCTCCTGAAATGTTACAGCATTTATAGCATGATTCATAAAATGCAATGACTGCTCCATCCCTGGCAGTGTTCAAGGCCAGGTTGGACGAGGACTTGGGTAATATGGTTTAGAGTGAGGTGTCCCTGCCCATGGCAGGGGGATTGGAACTTGATGATCTTAAGGTCCTTTCCAACCCTAACTGTTCTATGATTCTATGATAAAGGATAGAAAAGGTAAACATAGTTCATGGGTTTATTTTCGGTTGTGCAAGCTTGAGTTGTTGCTCATGAATTTGCCTCATTATAATAAGAAAAGTTTGCCTACTACAAGATAAGGGTATATGGATTAGTAGTGCCATTGCACACTTAGGTTAATTGCCAGCTTGTAGGAAGAAGAAAATACATGTTGTCTATAAGCAACTATATTCTGTGAGTCTAGAAACAGCAGCATACCCTTCCTGAATAAACAGACTGGGTTGAGTCTGAAAGCCTTAGCAAAATTTGTAGGATATAAACCCCAGTTTGTTTTTGTTTCAGTGAAGTTAACATGTACAGGTCTAAATGAAGCAAGCACAGTATCAGGTGCAGTAGGTTACAGGATGACTTGACATTTCAAAAAGGTTTATGATTTGATCAAAGCTATAAATAAATAGATTTTTTTAAACAGCTGAAGCTTCTTTCTTTGACTATGCAAAGTACCTTGACGTGCAGATTTCACTTCACTTCACAATGTTCCCGTGTTTAAGTAAGTTTAAAGAGAAAAGATATTTGGGCAATTGCAGAAACATCATCTCTTCTTTTGCTGTAGCTGAATAATTTATAGTCACTGAAGATCTCTATTTGTATTCTTGTTTTTGTTCTACATGACGAAAGAGGTAATATCAAGTTGTAAGCAGTGTATCAGTTCTGAGATTGCCCCTGAGTTTTTCATATTCCTGATGCGAATTACTTCCTCTTCAAATGTGTAAAGCTGTTAAATGCACACTTCCCACTTTTATTAACACTTGTTTATCAATTACAGTTTTCCAAAGTCATGTATGTTCCCCATTGTGTTTGTCTTTGAAACTGTAACATTTTGGTTGGTTGAAATCTTGAGCTGCTTTTAAGCTGACAAAAATCAGACCAGTATCAGTGAATGTGAAAGATCTTTTTGAATGTCTTCTTGAAATTCTGGTTACAAAGAGGATACAAGAATGGATTCAAGGTGGAGTTCACATAGCCAAGCCATATAGTGAACATATGTAACTGTGAAAATCTTTCATGCCCATGGAAAGCTATTATCATAAACAATACAAAATAGGGAATCCAGCACAGCATAAAGGCTGCCATTATGACCCCTAACTGCTTAGCTGCTTTCCTCTCCCTGTTCACATGCAGTCCTTGAGTGCGAGTTTTGGAATGGGCATGCAGACTTTGCCAGGTTTTCCTCAGGTAAGACAGTCCTTTGAAATCCCTGTTCTCCGTCTTTTCCTGAGGGCTGCCAGCTCTTTCAGGGTTAGGATTGGAGCCCTCTCCGTTAGGTACCTCGTCACTGAAAGTCTGGCTGTCTGATGCATCACTTAAGTCACTGTCTTGTGAACAAGGCTCCTCTTCAGTTTCGTTCTCTTCTGTTACACACACGTGCTTCTTTCCTGCTTTATCCTGGCCTGGCTCAGACTGGGCAGTGGTGAGAGGGAAACAGCCCCATTTAAGGACTTTCCTATTACTCTTGCCAACAAATGCCTTTGAAGACTTGTCAGGATTACTGAACTGAAGCTCTGCCTCCATATTTTCAGGCTGAGGGGAGCTTTGTTTGTGTTTGGGAGGGCTGTTCTCATCTAAGATTTGATTTTGGAGGCAAATATTTTGCTTGTCCTTCATCTTACGATGATGTTTGGGTTTTTTTTCTGAAACAGATTGATGTGATCTATTGATGAGCTCTCGGTGTTGACAGTGTTCTCTAACAGCCCTGAATATTTTATAGTAGAACCACAACATCATGATAGAGGGTATGTAGAAGTTCACAATGGCTGTCAACACTTTAAACCAGGTCACTTCAGAGAATTCCGTTTCACACTTGGTTTCGGTTACTTTCCTTTTCCCATCATTAGCAAAAACATGCCATCCTAGGATTGGAATGACCCACATGAAAGAGAGCAACCAAACCCCCAAAATCATTACCGAGGCTCTCCTTTTTGTTCTATACCTGAGATATTTCAGTGGTTGCTGAACTGAACGATAACGATCAATGCACAATATGAAGAGATTGAAAATGGATGCAGTACTGGCCACATAATCCATTGATAGCCAAAACAAACAGGCTGGTAAGCCTAGAATCCACTGAGAATTGAGGAGATAAACAATGTTCAGGGGCATAACAGCTGAACCAACAATCAGATCTGCAATAGAGAGGCTGACAATGTATAAATTGCCAACGGTTTGCAGCTTCTTTTCAGTTTTCACAGCACATAGTACTAATATATTCATAACAATAGTGATGAGTGAAATGCTTCCCAGGAACACACCTAGAACAGCTGGTTGACTGATAGTTGAGTTGTTTGTAGTGTTTTTTGACATCTTTTGCACAGGAACACAGAATGAAAATCAGGGATGTTCAGGCCTTGGAAATGCAGTCTTGGTTTACTCTCCTGGGTGAAAATAAGTGCTGGATTGCTTTGTGACTTTTATTTCCACAACTGTAAAAAAAAAAAAGAAATGTGCTCAATCACTGTAGTACTAAAATAAAACAATAAAACTAATCTGTGCTTATGCTCATCACTGTCCCTTTTAAGGCTCTGCCAGATAACATGGTTTTACAACATTTTAATTTGTGTTCTATGAAAAGCACTGGAGCAGGCTCTATGAACCAATCCACAATGGTTTGCAGAGGTGTTTCATGGATCTTCATATAATTCTGACCACAGAATCCAGAGAAGGAATTTCCGTTCTCGCTGTTTTACCTTATTATATCTCATTAAAGTGGTAATGGCTTTAACCTGCTGGAGAGGAGACTGAGCTGAGCTCTTAGGCAGAAGCTTTTCCCTGTGAGGGTGCTGAGGCGCTGGCACAGGGTGCCCAGAGAAGCTGCGGCTGCCCCATCCCTGGCAGTGTTCAAGGCCAGGTTGGACGTAGGGGCTTGGAGCAAGCTGCTCCAGTGGAAGGGGTCCCTGCCTGTGACAGGGGGTTGGAGTCTCATAAGCTTTAAGGTCCCTTCCAACACAAACCAGTCTGTGATTCAGTGATCAAATAGCTATAATGAAACAAAACATGAAGTACATATTGGCAAACCAATTTAAAATGTGTTGATATAAAGCAAATTAACATGTTTTGTCCTAAATGGTTTTCAACAAACCAGTGATTATTTACAGATTGCATCTAATAGGCTGAGCATAGAGCAGTTGGGTTTAATTACCCACCCATAACAGGGTACCATATCATAGGATCATGGAATGGTTTGGGTTGGAAGGGACTTCAAATATGTCAAGTGACAACACATTCCAAGCAATAGACTCCAGCCAGTACACACCTTTAGCAGATACAAAGTCTCAAACAACTCCTAAAGTCACAGCCAGTGCCTGTGTTTTCACTGGCAGGCAGTTGTTCAAGTTACACATAATGCGTGATCTCTTCCTACCCATACATTTCAAACATTTAAAGATGGCAGCCCTATTTTATTTCAAATACAAACTAATAAAAGTTCAGGGAAAACAATAGGATCTTTCAGGATTAATATGCATGTTGCAACCTCTCAAATGTATGTAAATATAGGGTCTTTTAGGCTGAAGTCTGCTAGTTGTTCAGCTGCCCAAGAAACATATGCAACAAGTGTTCTCCCATAGCTTTGAGAGGCCGTGTCACTCCCACAAGCCTGTTGTTGCTGTTTGCTGTATTAAAGTGGGAAGTAAATTGGAAATAAGAGGAGTTGGGACTAAACACATAGCAAACCCTTCCTTTATGACCAAGAAATTATTTTATTACTTAATCTTTAATAGATGAGGTATCTATATTTGCTTAGCACTTTGGCTTAAGCCATGTGTAAAACCTTCAGAATGGAAATTCTTTAAAATTTTCTGTATCCCCATGATTAGAGTGCCCAAATTCCAGTACATGTACTGCAGCTAAAAAAGCAAAAGGTTAACTTACTAAACACCCACCATGGCATGTACAAAACCTATTTTACAGTGTTTTCTAGTTGCATTCATCTCTCGCTCCTATTTTGCAGGTGCTATCAAGGAGTGGGAGATGTCATTTGTACAGACACAGTGGTGTGTAGCTTTATGGTGACTTGATCTGTATCAAGGAACAACTGTAGGTTCATCCTTCACTTGTGAATGGTGGTTATGTATCAAGATCATAGGCCTTAATAGTAAAATGTGTTATGTTTTCCATTTTCTAACACAAGCATAGTAACTCAAGTATTTGCAATAAAAGGGAAATGAGGGAGAATGTAGAGGTAAGGAAAGCCCCTTTTCAATGTTGAGTAGTTATGCTATTCCATTTCTAGAAATTCTCTATGCCTTTGGTGTCTTCCGCTTCCCAACTGCAAACTTCATGAGCTGATCAAAAGTCCAAAAAAGGATTAATAATATTTTAAGTTTGGGAGCTTGTGATCTGTTGACAATTCTATCTCCAGGGTATATAAGAAAAACATCCATGAGGGTGATACATATTTTCTGCCAATTTTCTCTTACAATGCTTGCCTGAGTTCATGTTCTGGTAAATCTGTTAAAGCAATGAGGAAGGAAACAGAGACCTTAGACATAGCGCCTCAGAGTATTTACACAACTAAAGCTGAGATATGCAATTTCTCTTGCTTGTTATTCTAAACATAATCAGAATGATTCAATGCAAGAAATTATTCAATATTTCATACTTAAATAATTCAATATTTTATGCTAACTTTATCTTTTTCTTATTCCAGTAATCAAGGTTAAAGCTAGAATATTTGTGTGCTTTCTTCCATGAGGTCAAATTCCTCCTTCCTTACACCTTAATTACAATGCCTGGTCTTATGAAAGAAGGAAATGTGCTTGGTAGCAGTAACATCCACAGACAGAGGGAATACGTACACTGTGGGTATGAACTCCAGAGTTGTGTTCTGTAACGCTGTGTTCTGTACAGCCTTTGGGTTCTCTCATGTGAATTTCTTCAGTGACAGCTAGTCACAGATGTGGGAAGATCAGAGAGGCCTCAAGCATCTCCCCTTTGAGAACAAGAACAGAAATTACTCCATGGATCTTAAACCAACATGTCCAATCATGAGAAGTATCGCATCTGGTGACTGAGAGTCAGCCAGTCTGCCATTGCCTTTCCACAGCTACACACTGTAACCTCTCTGCTGGTCTTAAGTATATGGTCAAGGCAAGAAGTTGATGTTAATTGCTTCAGGGATCTCATAAAGAAATGACTGATTTTCACCCCAACATATTTTCATTTAGATTTATAAATAAAGGGAGAGAAGGCAACTTTAACTGAGGCTTCAACAGAAAGAATAGCAGTGAAGAAAGGCAGCTGATTAGACAGCTCTTCTTGGTTGTCTGTGAACTGTATATGGCATAAAACATGGAACAGGATAACATAAGTGGTGCTAACTGCTTCCCAAACTTTCTTTCAGCACTGCTGCAGTGAGATAGGGTATGATTTAGGAGGGAGCCTGCAGAACTTGATCGGAAGTACTTCTGCTCCAAAGGAGGCACAAAGGTCTAGTTTTTCAACTCATGCTCCACTTTTATTCAAATGTCCTTTATTAAATTACAAAGCTTGGTTATGTTTCTGTTTGGAAGAGTTTGTACATGCTATAACAATCCAAGAATGATGTCAGGAGATGCAAATCATTTGAGAAACCTAAGAACAAGAAAAAATGAGGGTATTGCGTTTGCTGTTTTAAAGGTAATGCTAACAGGTAGTCCATATTTACAATAATTCTGTCATTTAATGTAATTTTCATCACAATGTCATTTGAGCAGTTCATAGCCCTGATGAATTTTATCTTCTCTGCTTTGTAGAGAGCTGGGCCTGTACTATTAGATTTTAAAGTAAAATTAAGGAACAGGAAAACAGTGACCTCATAGCAGCCTTCCAGTATCTGAGGGGGGCCTACAAAGATGCCAGAGAGGGACTCCTCATCAGGGACTGTAGTGACAGGACAAGGGGTGATGGTTTAAACTGAAACAGAGGAAGTTAGGTTAGAATTAAGGCAAAAGTTCTTTACTGTAAGGGTGGTGAGGCACTGGAATGGGTTGCCCAAGGAAGTTGTGAGTGCTCCATCCCTGGCAGTGTTCAAGGCCAGGCTGGACAGAGCCTTGGGTGACATGGTATAGTGTGAGGTGTCCCTGCCCATGGCAGGGGGGTTGGTCCTTTCCAACCCTAACTATTCTATGATTCTATGATCTACAGTATTAACCACTGGAATGGGCTGGCAAGAACCATTTGTTCTTGTCTAGAGTGAGTAGATCTTGAGACCAGATTAGGATATTGACACTTTACAGTAACACTACATTTTCTCTGCTGAAAGATTTGTGTTTTTCACATATGATCTTTTGCAATGATGACTTTATAATTTTTATAAAAAAGCTCTGAGTAATTTATGTTTTGGAGTATGCTCATGAGAAAAGAAGCCACTCTTAAGTGGAAGGGGTCTCCATGCCTGCAGCATGGTACAAGAGAAAACAGTAAGCTTCTCCTAAGAAGTAACAGCACACAAAAGAGCATGCAGAGAAGTTTGATTTAGTTGCAGAAATGTTACGTTATTGGTCAGTGCCCTCTAATACTGCTCTGTATTTGGAACTTGGCACTTCTGTCACAGTCTTGCCCACTAAACTTACATTGAATGTTACACCACTGCCACTTCTTGTTAGAATTAGCACATTTTGCCACAACTTTGTCCACAGGAAGATAACTAGAAAATAATAAGCCTTGCTCCATATCATGGAATTCACTGATCACCTCTTCTGTGCTTTAAGAAAGATTATAATCAACAGGATTTTTTTCTTAAACTTCCTACCATCATCATTAGTAGTTGATGGCACAAAGTATCAGCAGCATTTAGTCATCCTGAGAGCACTGTCATTTGCAATAGCAGCTTCTTCTTCTTCGTTGAGGCACACACCATTTTGTAGTGGCTGTAGACTGTGGTATATGTACCGCAGTTCAAGAGCTACTGGTTTAACTCCTTATCTGTAACTCAGTTCCCAGCAGAGGAACTGCAGTAATACTGAATAAATGTGTTGTAATTTGGACAGCTTCACGCTCATTTTGTTGAACCAAAGCTCACTAATGCAGAGCAGATTTTAAAGAAAACAATCAGTGTAAGAACTTGGGTAGCTCTTTGGAATTTCTAAAACCTGAGCTCACCAGGAAACGTCTTCCTTAATCTTTACTGTCCATAAAGAGCTTTTTCTACAAGGAAAATCGGCAATCAAGACTTGTTTGTTATTGTATCACAGTGAGAATTCTTCCCAGGAACAAGAATCTCCTGAGAGATGCCAAGCAGATGCTTTCCTGACTCATTAGTGCAGGTGCAACCTATTAAGCCCTGACTAAGTGGGAGTTAAGTCTCTAGAAACAGATGCTGGTATATCTCTTATGGATAGGTTTTAAAGAAACCAGAGCTACAACAGGCAAAGACTAAGCTAGAGCAGACTTCTTGTTCATCAGA